GTTTCAGGCCTTGGCCAGACAGTTCCGTGTTGATTTTGTACACGCGTGCGCGAGCGACAGTTCAATCGTTTTTTTTAATAAATTTACTTGTGATTACGTGTTGATATTATTGTTGTTGTAACGTTTTTGGATTCTTTTTTGTTTTAATAATGCCTAACGCGTACGTTTATAGTGCTCAACATGTTAGGTATCCGAACCTAGGTACACGAAGTCAGCGATACCTAAACTTTGTAAGTGAACAGTTGGTGGACATTTTAGACGACCTATCGTTGGCTGAATATCGCCGCACATGGCTCCAGCATGATGGTGCCCCTCCACATGTCGTGAGGTTAGTCCGTGAGCGCCTCAATGAGCTATTTGATGATCGCTGGATCGGCAGACTAGGACCACACGCTTGGCCACCTCGCTCACCAGATCTGACCCCGTTGGACTTCTTTCTGTGGGGGTATGTGAAAGAAAGGGTTTTTAATCGCGAGTGTGATAGTGCTGATGAAATGCGCCAAAGGATCGTGGATGTTTTCGACAAACTACGTACGGACTGTGTCGAAGACCACACGATGATGCCCCGCCTGCATGAGGAGATGCAACACCGAGCCCAAATCTGCCTTGAAATGAATGGAGCACAATTTGAGCCGCATCTCATAAGACCACGGAGGATTTAGAGCGGTAAGCTGTTTCATAAGTATTTTTTTTAAATAACTTAGTACTGGACTAATCTGAATAGGTACATAACTGAATACATGAGAATAATAAACATACCTACACGATGAATAAAAACGCATGACTCCAATCTTGGTTACATTGCATTAATTTAAGTATTTTTTCATTAGCGGGGAATCGAACCAGTTATTTGGGTTATTTAACCTGTAAATTCGTATTAGTGGCTACGTGGAGACAAGTACAGTGGCAAAATAGTAGGTTGAGTAGATAAGTTAGGTATTTAGACAAGGGCGCGGGCCGCGCGAATTTGCGTTCGCGCGTACATTGACCTCAAATCAGCTGATATCAATTCAGTAATTCCACTGCTGGTTTTATGTTTCAGTATTTTCATGATTTTTTTTATGAAATTATCGTTTCATTTAGCTGTACTAACATGATAGCGCGTGAATAAAGCTAATAAAACGTTATAAAAAGATGATTTTTTTTTCATCAGGATCGAATTTATGTGTTACCCATGATCAAAGGTATACTTGGTGCTGTCGCCTGTCTTAGTTTTCGGGAGCGTTCCAAAAATACCCTGTATATATATATATGTATATATATATATATATATATATACGGTAAAAGTGGTTTTGAGGATTCTAAAAAACCTCGACTGTTATATACAATATTTACAACTCAACTTTAGCGATTTTGTCTTAGTAATTGCTCTTTTAAGTCACATAGTGTTAATAAATATATTTATAGCTCGGCTTTACGAGTATATCCAACGTCTGTACAAACGCTCTACAATCCCCTTTTTTATCTCCAAAGCCATCATGATCACTACTAAACGACTACTTTATTACTAAGCTTTTAAATAGATATAATAATTTGTTATATATAGTAGGTTAAGAAAGATACAAGCTTCCCTTAACAGTTATTATAAAGAGAGCGATACAGTGTCTGCTAATATTGCTTGGGTGCTACTTGGGTCGTAAATGAAAAATTGCTTGTTAGGGAACAAAGACAGTTAAGAACAAGCCTGTTACGATCACAATCTTGGGCTACAACTTGAGCGACTTTAAGAGTTTTAAGTAATTTTCTGAGATTTTCCTTGTTCCTTGCACATTAATTAATTTCTCTTAGCAATCCGTTGGCATTGCAGAAATTATTTAATGTGCTTCTCAAAATCTCCAAGTTCCTTTGTTTAAGCAAACATATTTATTCATTACCTGTTACTATAACACATTACATTTCTGACAATGAATTGAAGAATAACACACGTTATCGATCGTAAGTAACTGATATCACAGGTTTTTTTTGTTACACCTAGTTTTTTCCAATGATTCTGGAGAATTCACCATAATTGCCACAGTGAGTTAGTGAACACAGTATCAGATATTCTGCACTTATGATGCTGTTTTCGGCATCGGTTTGGGTATTGTTTACTATGAGGTGATTATATCGGGGATTGGTCCTATTGAAATACACAGAATGAGATGAAGTGATAGTTTCTCTTATGCAACCTATACTATACTAAAGACGAAAAAAGAAGCTATGCTTCCAGTATGAAATATACACATACACAAATAAGTAAACTTTATTCTAGAACTATAAACTAATAAAACGAAATAGCAGCCTAGTAATAGCAAAAAGAGATGTAATTTGATGGAAGCCGTACATGATGCAGGTAGTTTAGAACCCCACGTTGTAGTAATTTATGAAGAGGAGTACCAGAAATACCACAATTTTGTTTTAATTAATATGCTTAATTTTAAGAATATAATTTAAAATCATATCAATATTGAATTACTAACTGAGCCCCGCGACTTCGCCCGTGTGGAATTTACTACGATTTCATGGATATCAATTTTTTTGCGCGGAACCCAAATTTGGTTTTTGAGTAATGTTACCATGTTATAAATTGACATTAATATCTATACGATACTAACGTCACTCAATTTTTTTGCCTTCCCTTTGCCTTGTATTAAAGTTCAAATTGACTTTTAAGTATTATTACGAATCTTTTGTACGGGAATATAAAAAAAGTGTTGTTTTTAGACTTTTTCAGGCAATTTTTTAAATTTTTCTCTCCGTAAGAACCATCTTCGTACTTCAAGGAATATTATAAAAAAAGAAATATCGATGTTGGTTCAGCTGCTCTCGAGATTTGCGTTTAGCAACATATTCGGCGATTCATTTTTATATTATAGAGGAGCTGGCGTTAACTAACGACATATGTGTAATTAATACTAATAGTAACTCAACTCCTTTGCAACAACATAAAATACCTACAATATGCGAAGGTTGTCACAAAAACATTTCCTAAGTAATTAAAATCATAAAATGATACTTTATCTGTATTTCTTGTAATAATTTATTTATCAATATATCTATAAATATATTTATAGATACAAACCTATTGCTACTTTAGAAAAAACTCCTTGCGTCCCCAGCTTCACCTGCTTCGTCGTGATTGAAACTAAGGCTTTTGCTTGTGTACCTACGAAATTTTACTATATTTTACCCATATAAAATCTCAGATATTCCGCTTAAATTATTCGATAGGAGATTGAACACGATAAATAAAACAGGTTAAAATTATACGTTGGTTCTGTTTATTCAACGCATGCCGCCTCGTTACAGATGTGCAACCGATAAATATTTACGACATTTATTACTGGATTTTGGGGACTCCTCTCCCCTTTATACCACGCGCCATCTTTGCTCCGTCAATTCGCCAAGTTGACTCACTATTAGTATTTATTACACATATGCTTACGAATAAGTAGACTGTTGAGGAGATTACCGAGCCTTGGGGAGCTCCTGCTCTGATGAGTCTGAAAGAGGAGAAGGTTAATTATAGTAAAGATACTTCAATTCAACATAGGTACACCCAAATCCGTTAGTGGTTCAAGCCGAGGTTCTTACCTCCTTCTGAGGGGCCCTTGAATAACATCGAGCCTCTCCCCACTAATGGCAGAATCGGCGCCCTCAATAGCTAATAAGTGCTCGCTTACGATTCTATTCCGGTGAAGATGTAAAGGGCGCAGGGCCAACAACATACACTTTCAGGAAAAAAAGTGACCCCGAGTTGGCCTCTCTAAGTAGGCTTGGCGAATCCATTTCATATGTGTGTTGGTAGATTAGAGCGAGAGGGGTGTCTTCCCTAATCCTACCACCGCAGCTGAGGTAGTTTCGCGGGGTAAAACCAGAGTTGGTATGACTAGACGTTACTCATACGCGACTATGGCGGAGCCGCAACATTGATGCGGTGGTAGCAGTGCTCTCCCTACCACTTAAGGCCGAAATTTGGTTGGTTACTGCTCCACTAACCAGATCCGCCGATGGGACTAAGAAATCTACTGCTTAAAATTGTTTGTTTTTCCTGGCCCCATGGCCTCTGCACATCAGACTAGAGATTTTCGTGGAGAAGGTGAAGTTGGAAGCAACGGAGGAAGACGCGCTTGGTGCCCTTCAGAGAAGGGGCTGCCATGAGGCGTCCGGCGCTGGTCACGGATGTGTGCTAAAGCGTTCTCTTGGCCCTGACAATATGCCGCGAAGGTGTAATACAAGGGGATTTTAGTTGGTGCGTGTCCGACATAACTCCTCCTTGCCCCCGTCAGACGAGTATACGGAGGTATTTCCCCATGTAAGTAAAAAGATATATTTTATTATTATGTAGTAATTCAAAATAAAATAAACGAATGCAAGCCGCGGCGCCCATCTAAACTACATGATTTCGACATGGCTTGTAGCATGATTCTGACGATGCACCTATAGCATGTCGCAGAATTCAGTTGAGCCAAAATGTCGTCTGACATAAACAAGCCCTTGATTTGCTACAGCTTTCAAACATTCAAAGTGTCAGCAGAAGATTTTGGGTACATACTTTAAGGAAAAAAAATTGAAAAGTGGTGGTACTTTCAATGCTATGAAAGAATTAGAATTATATTTTGTATAGATTAGCACTACAAGTAGCAAGAAGCTTCTTGCGAGTTTCTGTTACTGTAATCGGGTCTAGAATAATCATATTGCAAACATGGTATATAATGAAATAACTTAAGGAATTTAATATTAAAAGCTAGGTCGTCTTTTATTTTGTATAGACAAGACAAGTCACTACAAGTTTCGTGTTACGCGCCACTTTAAAGCGCGGCGCCCACCTAAGTAACGTAACGCGTGATCTGACGCGTGATTTGACGCGTAACTTGTCACTGCCGTCACCATTCAATGGGATTGTATGCAGCAGCGCCCATTAGCGAGGCGTGACGCCGCATGACGTGACGTGCCATTCAGCTTGCTACTAGTGACGTATGACGCGTAACACGAAACTTGTAGTAACTTTTCTATGCAAAATGAAAGACGACCTAGCTTTTAATATTAAATTCAGTGAGTTAGTTCATGAAAGACCATGTTTATATGATTACACTAGACCCGATTACAGTAACAGGAACGCGCAAGATGGGTCTTGGCTAGAAATAGCGAAAACTGTCGAAGAATCGGGTAAGTACCTACACCAACATACAATAATAACAATAATGTTTCATACACGGACTATAGTTTGTGGTTTCATTATTCTAATTTGAGTAGGTACGAATAAAAATGCTTTAACTAGGGATTATTTGTTTTTAATAGTCTCGTTTATCATATCACATATAAAAATCAATGTTTGTTTGTTTGTTTGTTCGTATATTATGCACTGCAATACCGTTCATCTGATTGTGGTAAAACTTTGTCAAGATATAGTTTCAACCGGCAGGAGCTATTGTCGAATTCAGAAATGGTGTATAATTTACTCCACAATACCCGTGCGAAGCCAGAGCGGTTCAATCAGTACAATATAAATATTGACTTGGTATTGGAGCGCATTCAACGAAGTATTTCGTTAGATGATTTCTAACTAGTTGAGCTGTGTTTAGACGTGAGGATTCATTGATACTTCTGGTCATTAAGTTGGCCGTAGTTGGAGAAGATCTAACATCATCATGCTTGCGGATGAAGTTATGAAGTACACAAATAGCTTGAATGATTACGTCAATGCTATTTACATCACATTTAATGGGTAGGTTCAATAATTTAAATTTACTAGTTAACATTCCGAATGTACACTCCACTGGTTTGCGACCACGTGAAAGACGATGATTAAACATCCTTCTTTCATTTGTCAGTTGATTACGAGCATAGGGTTTCATAAAGTTTTTGGCTAGAGCATACGCTTCATCTCCAACAAAATAAAAGGGAAAGTTTATTTCCTCACCAGGTAAAGGAGATGGTTCAGGTAAATTTCGATTGCCATATGCGAGTGCGTTCCCGAAACTGCTTTCTTTTAGTATTCTACCATCACTATTTCGACCTAATTCTCCAATATCGATACATATGAACATGCTATCAGCGTCCATTACTCCTTGTAAAACTATAGAATAATATCCTTTATAGTTGTAGTAAGCAGCTCCTGATCTTGGTGGACATTGTATCCTAATTTAAACAGGGGTAGAGCCACGCGGCAGCTTTTGCTGTCGCACGGATGGGCCGGCTCGAACCGGGGTGGTACCAAGACCTCACAGAAAACCAGCGTGAAGTAGAGGTTTACCTCTGCGTTTCGCTTGGTGAGTGCAGGTGGCCGGAGGCCCTTTTTACTGGAAATGAGGCATTCCATCTTAGTCCTCACGGGTGACAACGCATCTACATATTGATTTGTAATAGAGGATAGATGTTGATGTCTATGGGCCACAGCAACCACTTACCATCAGGTGGACTATGTGCTCGTTTGTCACCCTTATCCTATAAAAAAAAATGTGCTTCCCATCAACTGCTCCGATGCAATTAGGTAGATTCCATAGGTTATAAAAGCGATTTGATACTTCTATCCATTTATTTGTAGTCGGTATCGGCATGTACTCTGGTTATAATAGCTCTCAAATCACTTGTGATGTCTCATGAACAATTCTGCGAATGCTTGTCGGACCTCTCAAGAAATAGTATGACAGCGCTTTAAATGAATTACCTGATGCAAAATACCTGTAAATATAAAAAGTATAACATGATTATTTTCAGTTGCTGATTGCAAAGGAAGATGGAAGAACCTACGAGGTTGCTATACAAGACATTTAAAAAACAACAACAGACCTTCTAGTTCTTCAGCAAAACATGTAAAGCCCTATTATTTAGCAGATCATCTTCAGTTTTTAGATCGGTACATTAAATCTAGGCAATGAAAAGGCATATTTAATAAAGAAGAGCAAAATACCGAAAAACACCAGGAAACACCAAATGAAATAGATGATGAACATGAATTAATTGGCCGTGTAGTGGCGGTTAAGAATATCCACTACCCCATATCTTCCCGTGGGTGTCGTAAAAGGCGACAAAGGGAAACAGGCAGGAGATGGGCAGCAGCATCTTCCTGGTAACGGCAAAAATACAATAAAAAAACTGCGGTTGCCAACCCGTTCGCCAAGCGTGGCAACTATGGCAATGTTGCCACGCTTGGCGAAAATTTCTCAAGACCAAGTCAAGTAAAAAGGAAAAAAGTTTCTTTGAGCGAAATAAACGCAGCTGCCAAGGAATATTTTCAGTCAAGGCAAAAAAATTCAAAGCACAATGAAAATCAAGATCCAGATTTTGCATTTTTCTATTGCTTAATTCCTGATGTCAAAGATATGAATCGTGACCAAGAAAGAAGATTTAAAATGGATGTTATCAAGTTAGCCAATGACATATTATAAGAAAATATATCTCAAGAACATGCAACAATGTCAAATTTCAAACCGTATATGGAGGTTCCAAACGCTACATACATAGCTACTGGTCCGGAGTCACCAATCAGTGTAGTAAATTCAACATCAATTCATACTATGCATGCATTTCATGAAAATTCTCTTATAAGTCTCTTTTTCCATTCTATAAAATGTCTGAAACCTGTCTGAGTATAATTCTAATTCCTTCATTACATTGAAAGTACCACCACTTTTCAATTTTTTTTCCAAAAAGTATGTACCCAAAATCTTCTGCTAGCACTTTGAATATTCCTAATCTGTAGCAAAGCAAGGGCATGTCATCCTCTTCAGACGTCATTTTGGCTCAAACTGAATTCTGTTACTTGCTATAGTCGCACAGGTTGGTGCAAGCAGTGTCACCCGTTGTCACGTCAGAGTATCGTCAGAGTCATGCTACAAGCCATGTCGAAATCATGTAGCTTAGGTGGGCGCGTAGGAAAAAGAGACTTATAATATTTTGCTTAATAAATTGAGAACTCGTTTAACGAAACAGTGGACCAAGTTTAGAGAACCAATAAGCCCGGAAGAAAGATTGCTCATCACTTTAAGGTAAGAAACTAATTTATGTCTTAATAAAACTCTTCGTAGAAATCGTTATTTATTATTAAGATTCTTAATACAAATTACTTTACTCATTAATTTACTTAATAGACAATGTACCGTCATTATTAATATATATTTGAGATCGTTCTTCATTGCCTTCCGGCAATGAATTTTCATGAAATGCATGCATAGGATGAATTGATGTTGAATTTACTACACTGATTGGTGACTCCGGACCAGTAGCTATGTATGTAGCTTTTGGTACCTCCATATACGGTTTGAAATTTGACATTGTTGCATGTTCTTGAGATATATTTTCTTGTAATATGTCATTGGCTAATTTAAGAACACCCATTATAAATCTTCTTTTTTGGCCACGAATCATATCTTTGACATCAGGAATTAAGCTATAGAAAAATGCAAAATCTGGATCTTGATTTTCATTGTGCTTTGAATTTTTTTGCCTTGACTGAAAATATTCCTTGGCAGCTGCGTTTACTTCGCTCAAAGACACTTTTTTCCTTTTTACTTGACTTTGTCTTGAGAAATTTTCAGTTTCCTGGCTACAGGCTTCTATTTCATTAGTTACAGAAATAGCAGGAGGAGGGTTATTAAATTCACGACTTAATTCATGTTCTTCATCATCATCATCTCTTTCATTTAGTGTTTCCTGGTGTATTTCGGTATTTTGCTCTTCTTTATTAAATATGCCTTTTGATTGTCTAGATTTAGTGTACCGATCTAAAAACTGAAGATGATCTGCTAAATAATAGGGCTTTACATGTTTTGCTGAAGAACCAGAAGGTCTGTTGTTGTTTTTTAAATGTCTTGTATAGCAACCTCGTAGGTTCTTCCATCTTTCTTTGCAATCAGCAACTGAAAATAATCATGTTATGCTTTTTATATTTACAGGTATTTTGCATCAGGCAATTCATTTAAAGCGCTATCATACTATTTCTTGAGAGGTCCGACAAGCATTCGCAGAATTGTTCATGAGACATCACAATTGATTTGGGGGCTATTACAACCAGAGTACATGCCGATACCGACTACAAATAAATGGATAGAAGTAGCAAATCGCTTTTATAAACTATGGAATCTACCTAATTGCATCGGAACAGTTGATGGGAAGCACATTAGGATACAATGTCCACCAAGATCAGGATCTGCTTATTACAACTATAAAGGATATAATTCTATAGTTTTACAAGGAGTAGTGGACGCCGATAGCATGTTCATATGTATCGATATTGGAGAATTGGTCGAAATAGTGATGGTAGAGTACTAAAAGAAAGCAGTTTCGGGAACGCACTCACACATGGCAATCGAAATTTACCTGAACCATCTCCTTTACCTGGTGAGGAAATAAACTTTCACTTTTATTTTGTTGGAGATGAAGCGTATGCTCTAACCAAAAACTTTATGAAACCCTATGCTTGTAATCAACTGACAAATGAAAGAAGGATGTTTAATCATCGTCTTTCACGTGGTCGCAAATCAGTGGAGTGTACATTCGGAATGTTAACTAGTAAATTTGAATTATTGAACCTACCCATTAAATGTGATGTAAATAATATTGACGTAATCATTCAAGCTATTTGTGTACTTCATAACTTCATCCGCAAGCATAATGGTGTTAGATCTTCTCCAACTACGGCCAATTTAATGACCAGAAGTATCAATGAATCCTCACGTCTAAACACAGCCCAACTAGTTAGAAATCATCTAACAAAATACTTCGTTGAATGCGCTCCAATACCAAGTCAATATTTATATTGTACTGATTGAACCGCTCTGGCTTCGCACGGGTATTGTGGAGTAAACTATACACCATTTCTGAATTCGACAATAGCTCCTGCCGGTTGAAACTATATCTAGACAAAGTTTTACCAAAATCAGATGAACGGTATCGCAGTGCATAATATACGAACAAACAAACAAACATTGATTTTTATATGTGATAGAAACGAGACTTTTAAAAACAAATAATCCCTAGTTAAAGCATTTTTATTCGTATTTTTATTACATGCCGGCTCAACGCCTGCAACTTTACAAGGCGCAGGTTCGGCCTCACATGGAATACTGTTCCCATCTCTGGGCTGGGGCTCCCCAGTGCCAGCTCCTTCCACTTGACCGCATCTAGCGCAAAGCGGCTCGAATCGTCGACGACCGAGTTCTTTCCGATCGGCTCGACTCATTGGCACTGCGAAGAGATGTTGCATCTCTTAGCATTTTCTTTCGCATTTACCATGGGGAGTGCTCTGAGGAATTGTTCGGATTAATCCCAGCCGCCAAATTTCACGAACGGACATCGCGGCAGAACTCCCGATACCATCCACACCATTTGAATAATTGGCGGTCCACCACTGTGCGATTTAGAAGATGTTTTCTTCCTCGCACAACTTCCTTGTGGAATAGTTTACCACCAGCGATTTTTCCGGACCGATAAGACTTAGGGACCTTCAAGAAAACAGCCTACTCCTTTTTAAAAGGCCGGCAACGCATCTGCAATTCCCCTGGTGTTGCGGTTGTTCATGGGCGGCGGTAGTCACTTACCATTAGGTGAGCCGCATGCTCGTTTGCCCCCTCTCCTATAAAAAAAAAACCTACTCAAATTAGAATAATGAAACCACAAACTATAGTCCGTGTATGAAACATTATTGTTATTATTGTATGTTGGTGTAGGTACTTACCCGAATCTTCGACAGTTTTCGCTATTTCTAGCCAAGACGCATCTTGCGCGTTCCTGTTACTGTAATCGGGTCGTACGTAAGCCCATTCGCGTGGCGTGACGCCGCATGACGTCGCATGACCTGACGTGCCATTCAGCTTGCTATTAGTGACTCATTGAAGTGGCGCGTAACACAAAACTTGAAATACTTTGTCTATGAAAAATAAAAGGCGACCTAGCTTTTAATATTAAATTCATTGAGTTAGTTCATAAAAGGCCATGTTCATATAATTATAATAGACCCGATTACAGTAATAGGAACTCTAAGATGCTCTCTAAGATGCATCTTGTAACTTGTAGTGCAAATCTGTGCAAAACATAATTCTAATTTCTTCATAAAATTGAAAGTACCTCCACTTTAAAAAAAAATTATAGAATAGGGTGACAAACGAGCACACAGTCCCCCTGATGGTAAGTGCTTGCTGTGGCCCATAAACATCTACATTTATCCTCGTTTACGAATCAAAATGCAAATGCGTTGTCACCCGTGAGGACTAAGATGGAATGCTTCTTTTCCAGTAAAAAGGGTCTCCGGTTCTCTACACTCATCATACGAAACACAGCAGTGTTAAGCTGCTATTTTAGGCTGGTATTCTGTGCGAGCGTAGTCCTTTCCCGGTCGAGCCGACCAATTCGTGCTACAACTATACTACTAATATAGCTGCAGCATGGCTCTACCACGTAATTTTTTTACCTCAAAGGATGTACCCAAAATCTGCTGCTGGCACTTTGAATATTTGAAATCTGTAGCAAAGCAAGTGCATATTTATCTTCTTCAGACGACATTTTGGCTCAAACTGAATTCTGCGACATGCTATAGGTGCACAGGTCGGTGCAAGCAGTGTCATCCGAGGATCAGTCAGAGCATCTTCAGAATCATGCTACAAGCCATGTCGAAATCATGTAACTTAGGTGGGCGCCGGGTCTTAGAGGAACTAATGATTTATAAATACAGTAATTATCTATCAGACCAGTTAATTTATATCTTTTTATTAGGCTTCTTATAATAATTGTTTATCTGCATACATTTTCATAATATATTTTAATATATATATCAGTTATTAGGACCTTTATGCGTTATAAATGTGGCTTCTTCGTATGGAGAACATAATCTTGTACCTTTTTAATATGCCGTAGAAAATTTTGACTACTTTTACTTAAATTC